TGTGATAAGACCGTAAGGACTTCTTGGGGCACCTAAAATCAACATTAAAAAAAAAAAAAAAAGTCAATGATGATTTTTTATTTAAAAGTAATTCTATTTCTATGTAAATTTTGCTCACATAGATATGGGGTATTTGCACGTGCTACAGCTGCAATTGCTACAGCAACACTAATTGATGCAGGATTAATAACATCTGATGATAAAAAGTTAATTATTGACCATAGTAAAGTTTCGAGAGCGCAAGAAAAAGTTATTTCTGATCTTAGTAAGGATTTTAACAAAATAGCAAAAAGTGGAGAAGTGAAATGCATATTTTTTGATGGGAGAATTGATCAAACCAAGAAAATGATTGAACTTGATGACTCTAATGCAAAATTTCCAGTAACAGTGAAAGAAGAACATTACTCTGTTTGTATGGAACCTGGAGGAAAATATTTGTTTCACTTTACTCCTGAGAAAGCAACAAAAAGTGATAAACATCCAGAGATTATAGCAAATAAAGTTGTTGAATGGTTGACTGAGAGAGGTATTGACAAGTCTTTACTGGCTGTTGGTGGAGACTCTGCGAATGTAAACACCGGTAGGAAGGGTGGAGTCATCAAACATATAAAAATAAAATTAGGAAAAAAACTTGTTTGGCTCATATGTCAACTCCATACAAATGAGTTGTCACTAAGACATCTTATAATCAATTTAGATGGTAAAACAAAATCAAACAATAAATGGTCTGGTGTTATTGGTTCCATGCTTGATCATGCTACAAATCTAGATATAAATCCAGTATTTGAAACTATTAAAATTGGCAATCCACTTGTTTCTCTCGATGATAAAATAATAAATGACTTGTCTGCAGATCAATTTTATGGTTATAAAGTTGTTTGTGCCATTAGAAGTGGTATTTTACCACCAAAATTTCATTTATTACAAATTGGGCCTGTTTCACATTCAAGATGGTTAACTACTGCTAACAGAATATGTAGAATATGAATCTGTAAACATGGAATTCAAGGTAAAAATTTAGAAAATTTAAGATCAATCACCAAGTACATTGTAGGTGTTTATTTTCCTTGTTGGTTTAAGACTAAAGTTGAACATTCTTGGATTGAAGGTCCTAAACATGTACTTTACCAACTGCAGCAACTTAAATTTTAAAAAGAAGGTGTCATTAAAATAGTATCACCCTCTATTCAAAGATCAGCTTGGTTTTTTTTCAGTGAGTGTATACTACAAACATTGTTGTGTTCTAATACTGAAGAGGACAGAAGTGTAGCTATTAATAAGATAAAAGATATTAGAGGTACTGGAAATGAAGATCTACAAAAAGGGGATTGCTCTCCTAGACCAAGAAAAACGCCTGTTCTGAACTTTAATGCTGAAAAATTGGTAGACTTAATATCAGGGGAGTCACCGGTTTATGAACCAGTCTTAACTACCTTTCTAATAACTTCTGAAATTAATGTGTTTTTATCAAATCATATGCAGGTGCGTATGCAGGTGCCGATTTGGCCATGTCATGGACAATCTGTTGAACGTTGCCTAAAGCAAGTTACAGAAGCTTCAAGTAGAGTGTACACTCATGAAAAAAGAGAAGGATTTGTCCGAACTCAAGAGGCGAGTAGAAAGTTAATGCCTAAAAATAATAGTAAACAAGACCTTGAAAGTTTGACGCAAATGTTTTTGTATTAAATTTATAATATTTATTGAAATAATTCAGGTTTTTTTTAATATCTTGCTGTATTTCTAGCATCAATACCAATAAAATTATTACACGATGTTAAGACAAACTGTATTTAAAATATATTGAAAAATATTTTAATATTTATAAATTCTCAATCTAATTTCAGTTTTAAATTAATATGCATATTAAAAATTAATTTCAAAGTCTAATTTTGAAATAAGAAATATTTCATTTATATTTTATACAAATTCTTAAAGAAAGTATTATAATATCTAAAATTAGTTTTAATCAACATTTATATTTCAACTGATTTTTATCAAAGTAGAAAAAAAACTTATTAATTTCCAAGTAAAAACCGGGTTTTTTTGAGAAACCAGGTCAAAATTTTATTGAAGTAAAAAAGTTAAATCACCTAAGCAAAAAATTTTTTAATTCAATTTTTAAAAACATATTTGGATTCTCCATCAAATTTTGCAACTTTTAGTAATTCCCCAATTTTTTTCTCGAAAAAAATCAAAAATCGACACACCCTAATATGTATGCGTTTAAATCGGCAATTAAAACAATTAAAAAGAAATTGTTTGGAGAAACTCTTTGTTAAAGGTTTTTTGAAACGAATAATTTTTATGAATTTTTTCAGAACTCTTTGAAAATATGTTTTCAATAACGTTTGTAGACATATAAACCAGCTTATTTTGTTAAAAAGTCAAAAGTGATATTTTTTAACTTTAAGGGGTTTTGAAAAGCGGTTGCAGAAATACCCATTTAAAACATTTATAACTTTTTAATTTTGATTTGATTTATTATTACTAAATTTAAGTAAAGAGTTTTTTGTAGTAATAATTTTATCATACCTAAGATAAACATTTTTTAATTATATATGCTTGCTGTTCATATAATAAGAAAATATAACTACAAAGAAGCGTTTACATAAAAAAGTGAATTTAAAAAACAGTCAAAAGCTACAAATGAGCTAGAGAAGATACGAATGACAAAAGTTATCACAATCTTTTCATAGAGCATTTATGTGGGTTTTACTAGTTAAAAATAAAGCAAGATTGTTAAAGTACTATGTAAAATTCCTATTTAATAAAAATATAAAATCTCTTATAAATATTTCCCGCCAAAAGAGTAAGTAGTATCAATATAATTTTAGTGGTAGTCATTCAAATATACTGACAAATTTTTTAAATGTATATATAAAAAGAGACAATCAAACAAGTAAAAAACTAAGAATATTCAAATTTGATGTTTATTAAAAAAAATTAAACAATTATTTATCCAGCTTAAAAATTTCATTTTTTATTAGAAACTTAAAGAAGTTTAACGATTCCACCGTATTTGAACTCTTTGCTTTTTGAAAAGTGTTTCATTGTTTTAATCCACAGTGGGTTATTGCTTATTCAAAATACTTGCTACCAGGAGAATCCGGAAAAGGTTTCTAAAATGTGGGGGAGTGGTGGGCGACGTACCTGTTTAAAAGTGGTGGGTGACGTACTAGCTTAAATTCCAAATAGGTACAAGCTAACAAACAATACATCTCATTAAGTTTTTATTTGAGTATTACAAGCAGTACTTAAGGTATTCAGTATTTTTTTATAATAAACCTAATATTTGTTGAGTCGACTAATTTTAGTCAAACTAACCTTAATTCTCATCCCTACAATATAATAAGGTTAGCACAAGGGATAGCTGCATAAAGCAACACTAAAATAATACTGCGAGGTTGTTTTGTTATACATTATAAAATGTTTGTGTTAATATAAAACATCCTTGCCACATTTTATTATTTTGTTCAGTTTTAAAATTAAAAATAAGAAACGTATTTAAAATAAAACTTGTTTTATTTTCCACATTGAGTCGGAGGTTTAAACTTAGATTTCTTAGCTCACTTCACAACTCAATTTACTAGCAATTTGCAACAAGTTTATAAACAACTTTTAATAAATGTTTTAGTTTATTTTTTTATTATAAAAACAAAGTTGTGTTAAATCAAAACTCTCATGCTTGATAGAATGCACTGCGTTTTCACATTTGAAATTCGTTATAACATCTAGTTTGAATTATCAGATCTTAACAAAATCAATTTAAAAAAATCCAACCTATCGAAGCAGTAGCTGAAGCTCCGTATTATCTTTTTTATATACGCATTTTGCTAATTAATAATTCGGTTCCAATAACGTAAACTTAAAACTTTCGTTACAACTCCCTTACATCCATTGTATAATCTAGGTTATGGTGATAAAAATCAGAAAGTTATCAAATTCTGGTAAAATTTGATAACTTTCTGAAAATTGAAGTCAGTATATATATTATATCGGTTTATCTGACATGTTTATAATACATTCTCAACACAAAACTTTTAAATATTATAATAGCATTTTTATTATTTTTAAGAATAACAATAACAAAATTTTACAAATTTATTATTAGTTTATTCAGATAAAAATATGACCAATGTATCTAAGATAATGTATCTAAGATAATAAGAAAACAATATATCTAAGATAATTTATGTAAAAAAACAATATATGTAATGAAATTACTAAGACAAGCAAAAAGCAAGCGAAAGAAAAATTAAAAAATAAATATATTTTTATAAAATTACACTTGACAATTGACAAGTATACAAATATGTATATAAAACAAGATCACGAAGATCATCCCGTCAAAATTTTTTGTAAGCAAAGACAAAAATAGTTGTTAATAATATTAAAAAACATTTAATTTGATATGATGTTATTACGTATAAAAGTATTGAAAAAATAAAATAATAATATCACTGTGAAGGACTATCCTATCTTTATCCTACCTTAAGCGGGGCACTTGTTTTTAAGCTTTTTAAAAAACACTTTTCAAGTGTTTGCATTTGAAAAGGTTCTCAAAAAAACGTGATTAGTTTGAATTTCTAGTTAGCGACACCGTCTAATCCATAGGCACCAACAGATATTTGAGTAAAATAAGTTAAAAACTGTTTTGTTATATAACGAATCATATCAATAATTATTGATACTTCAAATATAAAGTACAGTCTTGAAGTTCAGTCTGAATACGCTGTCTATCTAAATAATCTTTTTACCAAAAACAAAGTAATTATGGAAACTGTTTATTTTAAGTTTTAATTTAAAAAATATACATCAATCAAGTTGACATTTTAAGATGTTTAACACCTAAAGAAGTTATAAAATAAGTTTAATAGTAAAAAAAAAAATTATATTTCATATATTGAAAGTAAAAAATAAAGATCGCAAACATAACTAATAAGAAAATATATGTAAATATATTAAAGTTTATTTGCTTGTTATTTTTTTTAGGAAAATTGTTTAGGGAAATTTATTCTTCTTTTTCGATTTCTAATTTTAAAGGAGCCTTTAGAGGTATCTTCGGAGCTTCAATAGTTAGTTTAAAATCTTTAGTATATCGTGAACTCAGGTGAGATAGATCAACATCATCTGGTAAAGATATGTTTCTGGTAAATTGTTTATGTTGAAAACCTTGGACACCGTCGTCTTCAGTCTTAGTTTCACCGTGAATGACTAAATCTCTACCTTTCACTTGAATTGAAATTTCCTCTGGCTTAAAACCTTGTACATCTAAACTGCATTTAAAATTTTCATCTGTGGATTCTATAGATTCAGGTGACGCAGGAAGCACTTTAGGAGCTTCAATATGTAAAACTCCGTCTACACTAATATTTGAAGTAAGAGCTGTTAGATCAACATCATCTGGAAGAGTGTATTTTCTATGAAATTCAATAAATTCAAATCCATTTTCATTTTTATTGCGATGTTTACCGCATATTTCAAGAACCTTTCCTAAATAAAAGAATGATATATATATATATATATATATATATATATATATATATATATATATATATATATATATATATATATATATATATATATATATATATATATATATATATATATATATATATATATATATATATATATATATATATATATATACGTGTACGTGTGTGTGCACGTGTGCTTATTTGTATATAAATTTAAACGATCTTATATTTATAACATTATAAAGCTGTATATGTACCATCTACTTTAATTGTAACTTCTTCTGGTTTGAAATGTTTGACATCAAGATCAACAATGAAGCCATCATTCGAAACCATATTATTTTGAGAAGAAGACAGTAAAGGGATGTCTTCAGCTATGTCATTATACAAACTATCGTATACTTTCTTTACCCATCGACTATTTAGTTTATGATTAAATGGAGAAATGTATCTTAAAGGTGGAAAGGTCTGGTCCAAAATCTTTTCAATAGAAACTTTTTTTGGAACATTAGCTTGCACAGGTACATACCACAATGACATTTGTTTCTTAAAAAAAAAAGAAATATTAATATAAAAAATCATACTTGCATTATTTTTATTACATATTTTAACGCTTAAAAAAATTATTTTCTTTTTAACGAAATCTGTCTTGTTTTACTACTTTACTTTCTATGAAAAACAATTTTAAAAAGGAATTTTTTTTTTAAATTAACAAATAGATTTTGGACATTTCTATCTAAAACACAGACCTGTTACAACATTTATTGTACAACATTAGTAGAATAAACAAAAAAAAAAAAACAGATCTTCCCACATTATAATTTTATTATAATTTTAGATATTTTGATCTGATTAATAAGTTAGAAAATTTATTATTAATAAGTTAAAATATTTTTCAAAAATAAGTGGTTTAACCTAAGAAGGTTTTTTTTTAAACTCTTCAAAAATAATTTATTAGAATTTGTCTTATTACCGGGACATAAGCAAGACGCGATTTAAATGAGTGCGAATTCCGAAATCTAGAAATACATCTGGTCTTTAATTTTTCATTTTATTAAACAACATTCAACACTGTTTTTATGGAATGAGTGAAACAACTTAAATTCATCATATCACAAAAATTTTATAAATATTCAAGACAGTGAGTTTACGACTGCAAAGATAGTATTCATAACTTTACACGTATACTTTATTGTGCGTTTAAATAGCAATTCATCAAAGTAGTATGAAAAAAGTTAAAACAACAATTCTAATACCCCAAATTTTAATTGAAATAGAAATGCAAAAATACAATTATGCTATTAAAAATTTTATGAACGTTTAACAAACATAAACTTTTAAAAGTTTATGTTTGTTTAGCGATAAAATAAAGATAAATTGTAGTAATATCGATAAGATACAGATAAATTGTAAAACTCACAATGTAATCTTTTAGCATTCAAAAATTATGATCTTATAAAGTTTAAACCCCCCTCAATTTAAGAGGGTTACTAACAATTTAGTAGGTACTAACAATTAGGGCTGCCAAGAGGAAAGGAAAATTGAAGTACTTTGCCGAGAACCGTACCCTCATCTGATGATTCGTACTTAATTTGTTTGTAATAAATTTTTTATCTGCATTTTTTCTAATTACATGATTTATTTATCTAGACATTTTCATATAGCGCTATATCAGAACACTTGCAAAATTCTTTAAACTTCCGTATATTATATATTCCGTATTAATACCTGTAAACTTCCGTATATTATATATCAATCGAAAGAATATTAAAAAGGCTTTATTTCTTAAACCACACCTGTAAACTTCCGTATATTATATATCAATCGGAAGAATATTAAAATCACAGTTTAATGTAAAATATTATATAAAGATACGTTTCATGCCGTAAAAATGCAGAGAAAGATAAATTTTTTTACTAAAAAATAATTGCATACTCGAATGTGACTTATATTACATTCAGTATGTTTCTGTAAAAATCTGAATACGTATGAATAAACTTCAACCCTTCTTCTTTTAATCCAATATAGGTTTTGATACCGCTCGGACCCGCCCAAGAACAATTCTTTCCAATTTAAAAATGTTTATAAATAAATTGTTTTATAAACATGACAGCCATTTAATCAGTGCTAAAAAACTTTTTAAATGCCCCAAGAAACCTTTACGGTCTTATCACAGAGCACTGCAGATGAGCATTTAATAATGATAGTTTTTAATTTTTTTAATTAAAAGTAAATTTCATTGGTATAACTGAGTATTTATTCGCTATCAGATAAACTGCCATCGGCTTATATATCAACGCAATCTAATTGTCGATAAACATTAATTAGTTCACGCAAAACTTTTTCATTAACATCCTTACTTCTTGTGGAAAATTTGTGGAATTTTTAATCAATAAAAGTTGCAACACCTCTTCTGTTAGTACTGATTTACATACGGACTTCAAACGACTTTTCAAAATAATACTGGAAATATAAGGATCTGATTTTTCTAAACATCAACAAAAATCATCAGTTAAGTTGTTAATTCTTGAGGTTTTTCTTGCATGAACCATGTGACCTTTATTATATGAACCATGTGACCTTTATTATATGAACCATGTGACCTTTATTATATGAACCATGTGACCTTTATTATATGAACCATGTGACCTTTATTATAAGAACCATGTGACCTTTATTATATGAACCATGTGACCTTTATTATATGAACCATGTGACCTTTATTATATGAACCATGTGACCTTTATTATATGAATCATGTGACCTTTATTATATGAACCATGTGACCTTTATTATATGAACCATGTGACCTTTATTATGACTTTATTATTTGTGAAGACTTTCTCCAGCATTTTTGCCAAAAATTCCAACTGGCAAAATCAATTCAACCATGGTTTGAGCTCCATGAGCTAAAACTTTATGAACTTTGTACCAAGAATATTTCTCATTGATAATTAAAATTGTTTGTAGACAATAATTTTCAAATTTGATTCGATCAATTGAATTTTGACAAGACAAACATATTAATATTGTTCTTAAATGGACAATAAGATTTAGATCTATATCCAAAACTTCTGATAACAATATTGGATCAGAAAAAGCTCGCCGTGCAGTATTGTCATTATTAGATAAACCAGTGCCACCTTGATGGGGTTTGTCTACGTGTAAGTTTAATTTTTCCTAAAATCTTTTTTGTATAAGACTTTTTCGAGCTTTTACATAACTTTTTATTTATTTTTTCTTTTGGCTGCCATTGCCTTATATCCAATTTGTACGACAAATAAAGGAGATATTCTATAAAACGGATCCAGCAATAAAGTGGACTTTATTGCTGAAAAAACTAATTTTGAACGCTGAAAAATAATACTATGAAACGTAAAATTTATCGATAAATATAAGTTTAGTTGAAAATAGTACAAAAATTATTTCATCATCTTGTTGCTCTCACGTTTGGGGCAGTATCGGCCAAATTTTTCGGGTTTTCTTGTTCCCAAGCTCCAATCATCGTAATTTTTTTGCAAAGCATCCTTATTTTACATAAGTGTATAAACTTATAAATATTTGGAGTTTTCTCCAAGTCTGGAAGTTCGCTATCTCAAAGACCAACATGGCACCGCCACTGATCTTGTAGAATGCACATGATAATTTTTTCTAAGTTCTTATTATCTATTTGTTTGGCTGTGTATCTTGCTGTATCAAGTATATACTTTGTATCATATTCAACTTCTTCAGACAGATTAGAAATTGCTATTTCTTTAGCTCCTTTTCCTTTGTCTTTAAAAGGCAATGTATGACGCCCTTTCTTCAACTCTGACATTTCTAAAACGTTTGAGAGTTTCCAGATAATTTCTTTAAATTCAAAATTAAATTTATATTCTAACCAGGAAATTGACTTTCTATGAAATTTATACTTGAAGTATTAAACATCCTTCAGTTTTTGTTTGTACGTGGTTTGTAATGTTAATCATTTTTTTAAATTCATTTTCTTTAGCATCTTCAATTTTCATAACATTCTTCTTCTCCAAAAGTTTTTATTTATTTACACAAGTATAAATCGACATAAAAACTTTTTGTAAATTCTTTCAATTTGCGGAAGCTTTTGAGGTTATATTAATTTAAAGAAAGTATTTTGAGGTTATTAATAGTAGGTCTTAAAGTTACCACAAATATATCTTTATTTATTTATTTTTTAAAGTTATCTTTTTATGACAATATTATACAACTTGACTGAAAATGACTGTCATGCTTTATGTAAAAAATTGATTTAAGTAGATATATTTTTAAATTGGAAATAATTGTTAATTCAACTTTGAGCATCTGCGTTTCCCGGCAAATGCTCAAAGTTGCCGTTTTTGAATGAAAAAGCAAAATTGCCAAAAAATTCTTTCAGAACATGAAAACTTGACTAGTTTGCAACAATCGTGCATATTCAGAACTTTTTATATCGGATTTTCGAAAATCTGGAACTTATGCCACTTTTTGATTATTTCAAACCACTGTGCTCTGTGGGTACTATTGTGCGTGTTTATGTTTTTGACTCGCCTCCATTTTATTCCATCTTTATTTTGACAACGAAGTAAACAAAGAAATAAAATACATTCCGACTATATTTCGAAAAGAAATTTATCTTCAGTGGTATTTTACTTACTAAGTACTGACTTTTGCTTTGCGATGAAAAATACCAAAGTAATTATAAAATTTTTAATTTTTAAAATTTAAAAAGTTAACATTCTTTGCATCGCCATAAGTTTCAGCATAAATCAAAGGCCTCCACGATTGAACCAGTTGTCTGGAGCTGCTGGGAAAAAAGAGCGATGATTTAAAAAGATAAAGAAAGCAAAAGCAAACGAACGCTTTTAGGTTGCGTTCGTTTGACAAAAAGCGAAGATAAATGCAAGCAGGTAGTTAAGTTATTTTTAAACCTTTTGACATCCATGAAAGAATAATTAAAATGATTTTCTTTACAAACAATTCTTTGTAATTCTTAATAATAATTCTGAGAGGTTGGTAGTTTTTAGTAATAATTCTTAGAGATCGGTATCATTGACTCTAATGAGTTGTCAGATCTTAATTCCGACAAAACTTTTCTTGCCGATGATATCGTTGACTCCCAAAAAACGCCATCAATTTTAAAAAAGATCAGTTGGATCTTGTATTTATTGTCACAATGACCAACAATTATATACAAGTGATTTTTCTATACAAACTAGGCCAACAACTAACAATCCTACACTATGGAAATCAATATCAGATTACACTATGGGAATTCTATTTTGAAATTATTTAAAGGCTGAAAAATCTGCAGCCTAGTCATTACCTAAACTTTCTGTTACACAATAGAGATCATAGATTGAAGCATTCAAAACACTTGGAGGCGGTGAGGCTAGGGCTATTGCTCTCGACATATCTAAAGCTTTCGACAAAGTTTGGCATGCTGGTCTTCTCCATAAGCTTGTTTCATATGGTGTTTCTGAGAAAGTTTTTGAGATTATCAAACCATTTCTTTCTAAACGGTTTATTAAAGTCATCCTTGAAGGCCAACACTC